GCGCGGGGGATAAATCCAATCTCCTCTCCTCCTCCAGTTTGGTGTCGTAGTTAAGTGCACAGACTCTAATCTGGGAGAACCGGGTTTGATTCCCCCACTCCTCCACTTGCACCTGGCTGAGTGACCTTGGGCAAGCCGTAGCTCTGATAAGAGCTGTTCTTGGGAAAAGAGCAGTTTCTGTCAAGAGCTCTCTCAGCCCCAACTGCCTCACAGGGTGTCTGTTGTGGGGAGGCGGAGGGAAAGGAGTTTGTAAGCTACTCTGAGACACCTTTGGGTAGGGAAGGGCGGGGTATAAATCCAGTCTCTTCTTCTTCTTCTTCCCCTCCCCACAACAGGCACCCTGTCAGGTCGGTGGGACTGAGAGAGCTCTTTTGAGGACTGCCCTTGAGAGAACAGCTCTGAGAGAACTTGTGACTGACCCGAGGTCACACCAGCAGCTGCATGTGGAGGCGTGGGGAAATCAGACCCAGTTCTCCCAGAGTAGAGTCCGCACTCTTAACTGCTACACCAAACTGGCTCTCGAGCCCACAACAGACACCCTGTGAGGTGGGTGGGGCTGAGAGAGCTCTGACACAAACTGCTCTTTTTCAAGGACAGCTGTGCCAGAGCTTGTGACTGACCCAAGGTCACATCAGCAGGTGCAAGTGGAGGTGTGGGGACTCAAACCCGGTTCTCCCAGATTAGAGTCTGCGCACTTAACCAATACACCAAACTGTATCTTAGCACCGTTTGTATTTATGGCGGGGCTGTTCATAATAACAACATCGGTCCGAAATTTAAGGACCTTTTATGGGCTGTTTTGGATTGAAAACCATGAACTGAAAAGCTGTTTTGGATTGGAAACGAAATAGGATCTAAATCTTTTTAATAAACAAAAGGGTTTAGTCCTCTTCCCCATGACTGGTGACAGTGGCGACCCGGTAGGGTTTTCAGGGCAAAACTGGTGGTTGGCCATTTCCTACCTCTGTGTCACGACCCTGGTATTCGAAGAAGAAGAAAAGGAGGAGGAGGAGATTGGATTTATACCCCACCTTTCACTTGGAGTTTGAGAGTGGCTTACAATCTCCTTTCCCTTCCCCTCCCCACAACAGACACCCTGTGAGCAATGTTCCCTCTAAGCTGCGGAGGCTTGTGAGCAAAACTCTACTTTGTGAGCTGCTGGCATTAAAGTTGTGAGCGAGCGATTTGGCTACTGCATAAAGTAGTTTGCTTTGGAGCCATCCTTCCTGAGCTACGACAAAAAAAGTGTGAGTTGGAGGCTAAAAAAGAGTGAGCTAGCTCCCAGTAACTCAGCTTAGAGGGAACACAGCCTGTGAGGTAGGTGGGGCTGAGAGAGCTCTCTTGAGAACTGCCCTTGAGAGAACAGCTCTGAAAGAACTTGTGACTGACCCAAGGTCACCCAGCTGGCTTCAAGTGGAGGAGTGGGGAATCAAACTCGGCTCTCCCAGATTAGAGTCCGCGGACTTAACCACGACACCAAACTGGTTCCCATCCAAATACGAGCCAGGGGCGACTGCTCAGCTTCCGAGATCTGATGAGACCGCGCTAACCTAGGCCATCCACACCACGGCCCTCCCATGACTAGGCAGAACAGATTGCGCAAACTAAAGAAATAAACGAAAGAAGGGAAAGGAGATTGGAAGCCGCTCGGAGACTCCGTCGGGCAGATTGTGTAATCTGCCTGATCTGTACTGGCCACCTTTTCTCCTAGCTCCAGAACAGCCACGAGTTCTGCTTTTTTTTCCCCTACCGAAATGACATTATCACCTTTTAACACAGTAGGTCTCACATCTCATAAACTTCACCAGATCTGATTAAATCAATTTATACAACTCTTACACATCTATTTCTGGTTTGCAACTGTATTGATTTTTGTGGTACATCAGAACTCCAAGGAAGATGGCATGCTCTTTTAGAACAGTAGTGGCATACATTTTATATACAGAAGCCAGTTCTCAATTTTTTCTGACCAAGAAATAGAATCAAATTTGATTTTTAGTGACTTAACCCACTGCAAGTACGAATAGTTTAGCCACTTCAACAGTGAGCCAACTCTTCATCTGCACCCATCATATGAATGTCTGTCTAAGGTGAACAGAAAAGTACTGTGTTGTGGGGAAGAATAATCATGTCTCAGGCACTGGGTAGCCCAGCTACAACTAAAATAAAAGGTATCAATAGTCCCGTTTCTGCAGCCAGATCTAGGATTTTGATGAAAACGGAAATAAATCTGTGTTTTAAGAAACGTGTGTGTGTGTGTGTGGGGGGCGATATTCTTTCTTTCCTTCTCAGTGTCTGAATGCTGTAAATGGCTTGGTGTAAAAGGACAAGATGGGGTTTGGAAAAGCTGGCTTACAGAAATATTCAAATGACAAGAGGCAGGTAGAAGATAAATGAAATTTCATTCCACCCCTACTTCCTTGCCATACCATCAAATATAAAGGTGTTACTATTGTAGTGGGCGGAGCACGTAGTAGGGTCAGACTAGGTTCTTCACTTGACAAGTGAGTATGTGGAAGCCTTCACTTCTCCTCTGCCTGTCATTAAAGGTCCACCAGGTAAGTAACTGACATGCACAAAAAATTGATTCTATTTCTTGATCAGAAAAAATTGACCTACACAGCACATAAAAGACAAACTACTTCATTCAACTTATTACCTCCACCATATGGTCCCCCCATGTTCCTGCTTCTACCAAAATTTCCACTCTTCATAGGACCATAGTTTGAGGGCTGTTGGTTGTAGTTTCCAAAATCATTGTAATCTCCTCCTCCATAATTGCCTCCTCCATAGTTGTCATAACCACCTCCGTAGCCCCCACCCTGGTTGCCATATCCAGGTCCTCCACCACCATATCCTCCTCTTCCTCCTCCATAACCAGGACTACCACCCTCTGCTTTTTCTAACAGGGACCTTCAAGAAGGAGTAACCGCGCCAGTCGGCGGGGAGCCAAAGCCAAAGAGTCTGACAAAACTTCGGCGCCTAACCCGGACCTTGTGGCCGAAGCGTCGGTGGGACAGAAGCCACCCTGTCAGAACAGCATCCAACGAAACGGGCGCCGGCCTGCTTTGGCCAGCCGGAACCGCTTTGTCATTCCGAGGGGCAAAAGCAGCCCTTCCCAAAGAGCCGCAGGCCGAGTCCTCCTCGGTGGCGGCGATCGCCCCCCCTGCAGCCTTCCCAGGTGGCGTCGTCCCCTACCGGTACGCGATCAGCAGGTTCTCGTGTGTCTTGACCAGGCTCTGCAGGCGCTTCTTGTAGCCCCGCGCGGCCCTGGCCAGCTGCTCCTCCCGAGACTTGTGGGACGCCCGGATGTCCTTCAACATGCTGTCCACGAAACGCTTCAGGTGAGCCGCTTCCGGTGGCGCCTTCCCGGCCACCGTCTTCTCCACTGACTTACCGTCAACGTAGGCCTTGAAAGACACAATGGTCCCTCTAAGCTGTTGAGTCTCGTGATCAAAAATTCCACTTTGTGAGCTACCGGCATTAAAGTTGTGAGCGAGCGATCTGGCTACTGCATCAATTAGTTTGCTCTGGAGCCCCATCCCTTCCTGAGCTGAGACAAAAATCTGCGAGCCGGAGGCTAAAAAACCGTGAGCCAGCTCACACCAACTCAGCTTAGAGGGAACACTGCACAGGAGCGGTCCCCGTCAGCCCCAGCGGTGGAGGCACACTCCGGGCGCTGAGAGACATGCGAGATTTGAACGCTGGCCCAGAAAGGAGCCCCGTCTTGTTTTTCTGGGTGACTGGGAAAGTCTCATGAATGTCGTCTGATGGTTGAGTCGGGTGGGTGACACAGAGGGTGCGTTCAGACGGGGGCTTTACATCGGTATAGGTGCCGGTTGCAATCGGTGTACTCACCGGCGTTCAGACGGGGAACATCTGCCTCCTGTCCCTAACCGGTGTAAAGCCTTTTACACCGTTGCACTCTGCCACTAGGTCCCCAAGTGGTGGTACCCTGAGTGCAACGGTTGTAAACGCTGTACCTGGCCGTCTGATCGCTCTCCAACATTGCACAGCTACTTCCGTTCGGAAGCCTCAGGCTTCCGATTTTCGCCCGCCGTTTTTTTTTTAAGGACGGCGATATGTGCTTGGGCGAAGCTTCGCCCTGCCGTTTGTTTAAAAAAGAAAAGAAAAGGGCCTTACTGTAGTGTTTCGGAGGCGTCCAGGACCTCAGGGAGGCTACTGTGCTCTTTAAACTTTAAAGGTAAGGACTCCATGTTGGATCAGGCCAATGGCCCATCCAGTCCAGCACTCTGTCACACAGTGGCCAAAAATACCAGGTGCCCTTAGGAGGTCCAGCAGTGGGGCCAGGGCACTAGAAGCCCTCCCACTGTCCCCACCCCCCAGGCACCAAGAAGACAGAGCATCACCTGCCCCAGACCGAGAGTTCCTTTAAGAACATAAGGGAAGCCCATGTTGGATCAGGCCAATGACCCATCCAGTCCAGCACTCTGTCACACAGTGGCCAAGAATGCCAGGTGCCACCAGGAGGTCCAGCAGTGCGGCCAGGGCACTAGAAGCCCTCCCACTGTCCCCACCCCCCAGGCACCAAGAAGACAGAGCAAGACAAGAGTGACAAGAGTGTTGGACTGGAGGGGCCACTGGCTTGATCCAACATTGGCGTCTCTGATGTTCTTATGTTCTTAACTCTGAGTCTGGGGCAAGTGATGCTCTGTCTTCTTGGTACTTGGGGGGGGGGGCGACGGTGGGAGGGCTCCTAGTCTCCTGGCCCCACTGCTGGACCTCCTGAGGGCACCAGGTGTTTTTGGCCACTGGGTGACACAGAGGGTGCGTTCAGACGGGGGCTTTACATCGGTATAGGTGCCGGTTGCAATCGGTGCACTCACCGGCGTTCAGACGGGGAACATCTGCCTCCTGTCTTCTTGGTGCTTGGGGGGGGGGAACAGTGGGAGGGCTCCTATGGTTTCTAGTGTCCTGGCCCCACTGGTGGACCTCCTGATGGCACCTGGTATTTCTGGCCACTGTGTGACACAGGATGTTGGACTGGATGGGCCTTTGGCCTGATCCAACATGGGATTCTCTGATGTTCTTAAGAGAAGGGACTTCAGTGGGGTCTAATGCCAGAGAGGCCCACCTTCCAAAGGCGGCCAGTTTCCCCAGGTGAGTTGACCTCTGTCGCCTGGGGGTCAGTTGTAATCAATGTTCCCTCTAAGCTGTGGAGTCCTGTGAGCAAAAATTCTACTTTGTGAGCTACAGGCATTAAAGTTGTGAGCGAGCGATTTGGCTGCTGCATACATTCGTTTGCTCTGGAGCCCCGTCCTTCCTGAGCTCAGACAAAAACCTGTGAGCTGGAGGCTAAAAAAACTGTGAGCTAACTCACACTCACTCAGCTTAGAGGGAACACTGGTTGTCATCCCGGGAAAACTAGCGAAGGAGCAGTGTCGAAACTCTATTTCAGTGAGTATGTATGTGCCGGCAACTGGGGATATAGTTCATATGTTGTAATAGAGTAAATATGGCATGGAAATATAATTCTCAATTCACAGCGAAAGAGTGCCAGCTATCTGAGGAAGCGAAACGTGAATGCGGCAGTGAAGCCAGCCGTGTAGAGCTATACTCACATAAGACGTGGAACTATTGTACTCCTGGAGTTTTTTATACAAAGGAATTGTGGGCTTTCATTGTAGTCCTACTTTGTATCAAGTACTTTTTGATCCTAGCTCTTTAAATATATATATATATATAAGGGTTCTTTAACAAAGATTTCAAATTGTTTGAATTGTTTCATACAATATAATTCTTCTGCTTTTGTTCGTAATTCATTCACTCTCCTCCCGTGAGCTCTCATTTTTGATATACAACCACCTGGAGGCCAGCAGACAGAAGACACCCCCGCCGCCGCCCCCGCTCGGGTCCCGGAAGGGAACTGCTCACCGCCAGGTCCGCGATGTACTGCACCAGCCGCGATCGGTACTCTTCGTTCAGCTCCTTCAGCTGCGTCTGGAGCCGGGAATTCTCGGCCTCCACTTCCTGGAGCTGGCTTTGGGAGCTGAGGAGAACCTGTGGGCCGAGAAGGCAAATCAAAAAGTGAGCCGGGGAAGGGGGGGGGTTGTTATCGTGGTTATCCAGAGGGGCAGCCGCTCTAGCCAATTGGAGCAACAGTAAACAGGAGCTGGCCCGTAGCTATGGTGGAGGGGCTATGGGGGGCTCTGTCCCCTTCCTTACAGGGCCTTGCATCCTCTTCCCCACTCCCCTTTTTGCTGTTGTTCAGTTGCACAGTCGAGTCCGACTCTTCGCGACCCCATGGACCAGCTCCCGCCAGGCCCTCCTGTCTTCCGCCGTCCTCTGAAGTCTGCTCAATTTCATGTTCGTTGCATCGATGACACTGTCTAACCATCTCATCCTTTGCCGTCCCCGTCTTCTTTGACCTTCAGTCTTTCCCAGCATCAGGGCCTTCTTCTCCAGTGAGTGCTCCCTTCTCATTGGGCGGCCAAAGTATTTCAGCTTCAGTCTCTGGCCTTCCAGGGAACAGTCAGGGTTGGTTTCTTTTGGGAATGACTGATTTGATCTTCTTGCGGTCCAAGGGACTCTCAAGAGTCCTACTGTCCCGAACCTACTGCCCATTACTTCATTGGGTGCTCCCGAGTTCTAGTATTTTGGGGAAAGAAGAAAAATTTTCCCTTCGTCAACTCTCCCCCCCCCATGCATAATTTTATAAAGCTCTTTCATGCCCCCCCCCCTTTGTTGTCTCTTTTCTAAACTGTTGGCTGTTTTATTCTCAGTCCCTGTCGCTCCCTTCTCATTGGGTGGCCAAAGTATTTGAGCTTCAGTTTCATTATCTGGCCTTCCAGGGAACAGTCAGGGTTGATTTCTTTGAGGATTGACTGATTTGTTCTTCTTGCATGTGTGTTCATGTTCGGTTGGTTTCTGTGGCCCTAAAAGGCAGTTTTGTTACGTGTGTTTTAATTTCTCGTCTGCTTCGGTGGCCTTCGTGAGGAGCGAAAGGCAGGATATACATTTTGTTGAATAAATACATGGAATCTATTCCCTGCGTTGATCGTCATCATTCCGGCCGTAGACGCTTCCTTACCGCCGACTGCTCCGCCAGCCTGTGCTGCGTGTTCCGGATTGCTCTCTTGGCCTCTTGCAGATCTCTGCCCATGGCCACCCTGCGCACAGAAGGAACACCGTCACCCGCAATTATGCCCATTCACGCTGGTTCCTAGAATCATAGAATGTTTGAGTCGGAAGGGACCTTGCAGGTCATCTAGTCCAACCCCCTGCACTCTGCAGGAGCAGAGCCGAAAGAAGAGAGCCGTACAACATACCCGAAAGATGGTCGTCCAGCCTCCGCTTGAAAACGTGCAGCGGAGGAGCCTCCACCCCCTCCCGAGGCAGACTGTTCCACTGCTCGACCACTCTGACAATCAGGAAGTTTCTCCTGATATTTAGCCAGTAACGACTCCCTTGTAATTTCCACCCATTAGATCTAGTCTTGCAATCCGGGGCAAGAGAGAACAGATCTGCTCCATCTTCTACATGACAGCCCTTCAGATACTTGAAGACTGCAATCCTGTGAGCCGGAGGCTAAAAAGCTGTGAGCCAGCTCACACTAACTCAGCTTAGAGGGAACACTGGCGCTGGCTCACACTAACTCAGCTTAGCGGGAACACTGCTCACCGCACAGATCCTGAACTTTCTAGAATATGCAGGCTTCTGGGAATCTCACTTTCTCCACCTCTGTTTTAAAATCCTCTTTAAGTTTCTGTCCCTCATGGTTGCAGAGGGAAGCTGAGAGAGTCCTCAGCTGGCCTGTTGAAATCCTATTCGGGTCTGGTGCTCTTTCTCAGGAAAGTTTTCTTAGGGACGCACTGTTAGAAACCAAATGTCAGTGTTGAAACACAAGCACACGACAATCAGCCGGGCTTCATAAAGAGAGACCCAGCATTACAGGTTTATGCTAGTTACCGTTATTCCCTCTTCCCAGTAAAATCTGGGAATTACAGTTCTATGGGGTCATGAAGGGAACAACAGATTGCCTACAGAATTCTCTGTACCAGTGGTGGCGAACCTATGGGACGGGGGCCAGAGGCGGCACTCAGAGCCCTCTCTGCGGGCACGCGTGCCATCGCCCCAGCCAGGCCCAGACCACCATTAAAGTGTGGAATTCTCTTCCAAATAATGTTAAGTACATGAAAGCATTTGGGATTGCTTCCCTTAGTTTGTTTGGATCATCTTAAGTTAATGTGTGAGTGGTTTTTTTCTAAAGTAAAACCTCAGTATTCCGGTTAAATTGGCATGTTGGCACTTTGCGATCAATAAGTGGGGTTTGGGTCGCAGTTTGGGCACTCGGTCTCTAAAAGGTTCGCCATCACTGCTCTATACCCATTCCAAACTACATTTCCCAGGATTCTCTGGGACCTGGGCTGTACCGTTTAAAGTGATATAACACACACACACACACACACACACACACACACACACACACATAAACGTGTAGCCCCTCGGTCACTAGTCGGGGCCTACTGGTCTCCCTCACATTCTCTCCTCCAGTTTATGTTGCTGGGAACTGTAGATGTCCTTCATCTTTTCCATCTCTGTGGCGACGTGATCTTGATTCCCAAAGAGCTGTGGAGGAGGGGGGGAAAACGGAAGGATTTTGTCGCATCCTGCAAATACCAGAACTGACCCCCTAAGAAACTGCCAGAAAATTATAGGGAAGCAAAAGGCTTCTTCCAAACTCGGCCAGCCCCCGAGTGTATTGAGGCATTCAGATTTTAACTCCACAGTTGGCTGTGCCAAACCGCAGCCCGGGTCTCGGAGCTGAAAAGAGCAAACGTCCAGGAGCACCTTAAAGACTAACAAAATACGTGGCAGGGGAGGAGCTTTCGTGAATCACGGCTCACTTCTTCAGATACGGCGAGAATGGGAGTATCAGAACAAATTCACTGTGCGACCCGCTCAGGCTATAGACTCGCCATGCCAGGAAGAAGAGGGAAATGCCAAAAACCCATGGGAGCAGCGCATGCACAGGCCTGTTGGTTTAGAGCGCTCTGGGGGGGGGGGTTTCTCAGCGCATGCACAGTCCTGTTGGTTGAGAGAGCTCTGGGGGGGGGGGATTTCCTCCCAACCCCAGGCCAGTATTCTAGGGCAGCATTTTGATCCCCAACTGGCACCATGCCAGGGCCCCCCACGCTCACCGTTTTCTCCAATTTCCGACGTTCGTGTTCTGAAGCAATCACATCTTCTGGCTAATGGCAATAAAACACAAAAGGTGGTGTGTGAGCACCTTAAGTTGCCTTCTCTTGAGTCAGACCCATTGGTCTGTCGAGGTCCATATGATCGTAGCTTATCAGGGGTCTTTCACGTCAACTCCTACCTGATACTTTTTAATTGGAAATGCCAAGGATGGAGTAGGTAACCAAAAAGAGTGACAAATATATATATATATATATATATGTCTGTGTGTATATATATATATGTGTGTGTAAAAAAAGTTACGTAGAAATATTTTATGGAAACATTTGGACAGAGGTTTGGTGGTGTCTATACATAATTGGCAATGCATATTAATAGGAATCTGTTTACCTTGGTACTGTTTGTCTTGTTTATTTATAACTATATTTTTATTAAATTTTCAAAATATTAAATCACAAAACTTCATACAAAAGAACAAATACTAAATCCAAACATTAATAAAATACAAAAATCAACATACTGTACAGGTAAGGCACTGTAAATCTCATTTGTTTTACTAATATATTCAAAAAAAATCTAAGCCCTTTTTTTTGTGAAATTTTCTTTAAACCTTGTATTTTTTGCAGATAGATAGATAGATGGAAGATAGATAGATAGATAGATGGAAGATAGATAGATAGATAGATGGAAGATAGATAGATAGATAGATGGAAGATAGATAGATAGATAGATGGAAGATAGATAGATAGATAGATGGAAGATAGATAGATAGATAGATAGATAGATAGATAGATAGATAGATAGATAGATAGATAGATAGATAGGAATATAATAAATGGAAATATAAATGTCAATTGCAAAAAAAATCCAAAACATTAATCAAATTATAAATATTTAAAACTGTGCATCAGAATGCATCAGGATTTTTTTAAAAAACATGTATAGGTACTCTCCCTTCGTGTGAAAAACCTTTATGGTAAAATTGCACTTCTACACATGGGGACGTCACTCTCACAATCATCTTTCCTATGACAGGTACAATGATGAATAACACAGAATACAACATCAACCAAATCAAATGCGTTTCGGCCGTGAGGCCTTCCTCAGCGGTTTAAATTTGGACACTACACACCAGACAATTTTTTAATACACAAGGGTCCCCCCCCCCTTTTAACCTTTTTGGCTACCTAGCCTGCTCTGGGTGAAAAATTTCCTTGACTTTTTTATTGTCTTCGATACCCAGGATTGAACCTGCAACCTTTTGCATACCAAGCAGGTTTCCTACCCACTGAGCCATGGCTCTGGTTTTGCTTGCTTGGGAGAACTAGACTTTTGACAAGGCGCAAAAAAGAGGGTATACCGACGTTAACAGGCTTAAATTAGTTTCACGTTCCTTTGCCTTTGGAAACTCTTGTTCAGGAAGAGGAAGAAGAGGAGGAGGAGGAAGAAGAGGAAGTGGAAGAAGAAGAAGAGGAGGAAGAAGAGGAGGTGGAGAAAAGAAGAGGAGGAAGAGGAGGAAAAGGAAGAAGAGGAGGAGGAAGAAGAAGAAGAGGAGGGGGAGGAAGAGGAGGAGGATCTGTGGTCCTCTGAAACAGAAGCATGGAGCTACAGCTACCATTTTATGGGCTCAATCCTCAGCGCTGCCGAGAGGGAGCACGCAGGTGAGTAAACAGGTAGAGGGCAACTCCTGCTTCTGGTCAAAATACTGAATCTCCACTCCGCCTTCTCGCCGAACTGCGGTCCCCCAAAAAAGATGCTCTGAGGGAAGCCGTAGCAATGACACAAACATCCTGTCTATCAGCAGGCAACACAGATCGGCCCAGAGACTCATACCTTCACTTTGCGGGCGGAGAGGCGGTGGACCAGGGCACGCACCCGTTCCAGTTCGGCAGAAGGCTCGTCGTCTTGGCCTCGGGCTTGGGGGCTGTCGTTCTGCCAGTGGGGGCGAGAGGTCCTAGCGTTGGCCAAGTTGAGTAGCTCTAGGCTCAGCTCTTCGTTCTTGGTGACCTACGAAACACCGCAGTGTGTTTAACACATTTAGCAATGAGTCTTTATGAGAAATATTTTGAGGTTTCAGCACGTCGGTGAATGTACTGAATATGATTATTTACCATATTAGTGAACACACACGGGATATTACTTGCTAATAGCCGGGAATATAATTAGCACTTTAATGAGGTGTCTCTTTGTTCTTTGGGCCTCAACTGTGAAGCCTGGCAAACCTGCCCTGAGAACAAACTTGACTCCAAAATGCCAGCTTTGCTCAAAGCCAGTGCTCCCTCTAAGCCGTGGAGTCTTGTGAGCAAAAATTCTACTTTGTGTGCTCCTGGCATGAAAGTGGTGAGCGAGCGATTGGGCTGCTGCATAAATTAGTTTGCCCTGGAGCCCCCATCCTCCCTGAGCGAAGGCTGAAACGCGTGAGCCGGAGGCTAAAAAATGGTGAACTAGTTCCCTGGAAGGCCAGATAATGAAACTGAAGCTCAAATACTTTGGCCACCAAATGAGAAGGGAGCCCTCACTGGAGAAGAAGACCCTGATGCTGGGAAAGATTGAAAGCCAAAGAAGACGGGGACGGCCGAGGATGAGATGGTTAGACAGTGTCATCGAGGCAACGAACATGAAGTTAAGCAAACTCTGCGACAAACATGAAGTTAAGCGAACTCCGGAGCACGACAGAAGACAGGAGGGCCTGGCGTGATGTGGCCCATGGGGTCGCGAAGAGTCGGACCCAGGGCTTTTTTTGTAGAAAAAGCCCAGCAGGAACTCATTAGCATAATAGGCCACACCCAACAGCAGGAACTCATTAGCATAATAGGCCACACCCTGACATTACATCTCATTAGCATATTAGGCCACACCCCTGTGTTACCAGAAGTGTGCTCATCCAGCCACACCCACCTTTCCCTTCTTATTCTCTTTACCTTGTTTGTTGTCAAAACCCAGGGCTTTTTTTGGGAGCAGGAACTCCTTTGCATGTTAGGCCACACCCCCTAATGTAGCCAATCCTAATGAGTTCCTGCTGTTGGGTGTGGCCTATTATGCTAATGAGTTCCTGCTGGGTGTGGCTAACCGGAACTCCGTTCCTCTGCGTTCCTGCCCAAAAATAGCCCTGGTCGGACCTGACTGTGCGACTGAACAACAAAGCTCACTGTAACTCAGCTTAGAAGGAACACTGCTTGAGCATCCACGCAAATACAGCCTATGCTGTATTTTGCAACATGCAAATCTGGCCATTGACCCTGAGGTCAAAAAACAGCTGAGATTTTCCTCTCCCCGAAGGAGCTCTGAGTAGCCCCCCCCCTTCATACTTCCTGTTCGTGCTCCCTGCTCAGCGCCAGATAGTTGCTCTTCAGAACCAGGTATTCGTCCGCCAGCTCCTTGCGATTCGCCTCCAAGGCCCGCAGCCGTTCCCGCAAGGCGTCTCGCTCCCCGCCGGTCTTCTCTTCGTGGAGCTCGACTTCAAGAACACGATTCTCCAAGGCCAGGATCTGGAAATGCAAAAATCCAGTTTTGGGGGTGGCGGGGAGAAGTTCTTCTATCGGAATCCTACCTTGGTTGGTTTTGCAAGGGTTAAAAAGGTAAAGGTTCCCTTGCTCGAAAGCCAGTCGAATCCGACTCTAGGTTTGCGGTGCTCATCTCTGTCTCAAAGCTGAAGAGCCAGCGCTGTCTGAAGACATTTCCGTGGTCATGTGGCCGGCATGACTAAACACCAAGGCGCACGGAATGCTGTTACCTTCCCACTGAAGTGGTACCTATTTATCTACTTGCAATGTCTTGCTTTCGAACTGCTAGGTTGGCAGGAGCTGGAACTAGAGACGGGAGCTCACTCTGTCATGCGGCACACTCGGGTCTCGAACTGCTGAACTACCGACCTTCCACAGCCTGCAGTTCAGCGTCTTCAACACTTGAGCCACCGTTACATGCCAATAAAGGTGACTGGACTGGACTGGACCTTGGGTTGGGGACAATGCTCCCTCTAAGCCGTGGAGCCTTATGAGCAAAAATTCTACTCTGTGAGCTACTGGCATTAAAGTTGTGAGCGAGTGATTTGGCTACTGCATAGATTAGTTTGCTCTGGAGCCATCCTTCCTGAGCTAAGACAAAAATCTGTGAGCCGGAGGCTAAAAAACTGTGAGCCAGCTCACACTAACTCAGCTTAGAGGGAACCCTGGTTGGGGTGAGGAGGGGGATACTATTCTAATCTGGTGATCTTGATGCATTTAGGATCCCTGTGTGTCTAATGGCCAAGGGCTGTCCCTATCCAGTGTGGATAGGTAAACTCGCACAACGGGGACCAGCCCCCGTGATGATTTGGGGCTCTACAAACCGAGGGGAGGACCACGAAGTTTGCCAGTAAAAACATGGTTTATAACCCTCTCCCAAAGGTAACGGCTTCATCTGCACATGTGCAGATATTCGGACGGACCACCACCTGAGAATATGATCCCATCCTTTCCTTGTCCCTTGGTGGGTTTTGAGAACACAAGTCAATCTGTCGCGTGCCGCGAATGCCTTTTCGACTGGTCTTGTTGTATACCTCTTTTCTGGCTGTTTGCCGTCCCTCTTCCTAGACCCGATCCCAATTCCTCTCCTGTCTGCAGGAAACACAGTTTGCAGTGCCATCTAACCTGATCTTTCTGTAAAGGGGGCAGTAACAGATTATATATCTAATAGCGAAGGCGCCCCCTGCGTGCGGATATCTAAATCCACACATCGGGGGCACCCGGGGGCAGGGAGATTTTCCTGCACACTTGGGGCAGTCCCCAGGTGTGCACAAAAATCTTAAAAGTTGCAAGAAAATATAGGGGGGATATTTAAATCCCCCCAAAAAAGTAAAAGAGCGTTTCCCGCCCTTAGTCTAAACCCATTCTTGCGCGTCCTCTCCTCTGCTGCCCACAGGATGAGGCATGCTCCCCTAGCCCTCCCAGTAGAGTTCCCAGCTCTGGGTTGGGAAGTACCTGGAGATTTGGGGGGGTGGAGCCTGAAGAGGGTGGGGTTTGGGGAGGGGAGGGGCGGGGCCTCAGGTGAGGTGCAGTGCCACAGAGTCCGCCTTCCAGAGCAGCCATTTTCTCCAGGTGACCTGGTCTCTGTCGCCTGTAATAGCAGGAGATCCCCAGCCACGTGGAGGCTGGGAAACCTTTGTCCCAGAATTCCTTGGGGAGGGAATATGGCCGCTTAAATGGAGCCACGTGGACCCGCCCAGTGTCTACAGGTGAGGAGTTGGAAGGTCAAAAGCACAGCATCGCATACCGCATTTGTGGAGCTTGCCCAAGGAGACCTACCGTGCTCCTGAGTTCGAAACATTCTTCCTCGTATTGCTCTCTCATTTTGTTGCTCTCGATCTGGAAGTCAACCAGGTCCTTGGAAATCTACGAGGAAGAGGGAACTCCGTTCTACTTTTGGACATAGAATACCAGCCTGCCAGCTCTTGAAATCCCAAAATGTCCAATGTTAAAAGACCGGCTTGCGCCAATCTGACCTGGATAGCCCAGGCAAGCCAGATTGCATCAGATCTCGGAAGCTAAGCAGGGCTGACCCCCGCAAGTACTTGGATGGGAGACCTCCAAGGAATACCAGGGCTGGGAGGTGGGGGCAGGCTATCAAGCCACTTCTCTGAATGTTTTCAATGCCCCAATAGGACTTAGGGTTGCCAATCCCCCTTTTACATATTAGAGTAAAAGTTATGTTTTTTGTTGGATTATTAAGCATGTTACACTCCATTGCAGCTTGCAGCACTTTATTCCATTGAAGATAAGAATACAGACGACAAACCTGAAGAAGGATTCGTAAACGGACTTATACTAGAAATCTGTCGTTTGTCCGAGAATATACTGTAGTGTTTCATATGTACTGCCAAGCCTAAGATCGCATTCTATAATGTTATAGTTGTAACTTTGCTGACAACTGATTTCTAAAAAGCATTATATATAAATATCTGCTTATATTGTATATGTATACACGGTGATTTATTGTTTTGCTAGTTACTATACACCGTGGTCTTGTTTGTTGTAACAATCCCCAGTTGGGGGCAGGGGATCCCCTGGTTTTGAGACACTCGGAAAGCAGGGGGGGATGTCCACTGGGCACTCCATTATACCCTATGGAGACTGGTCCCCATAGGGTATAATGGAGAATTGATCCATGGGTAGCTGGGGCTCGGGGAGTGCTATTTTTTCAGGTAAGGGCACCAAATGAGAGCCACTTTGGTGTCGTGGTTAAGTGCACGGACTCTAATCTGGGAGAAGCGGGTTTGATTCCCCCACTCCTCCTCCACTTGCACCTGCTGGATGACCTTGGGCGAGCCGTAGTTCTGATAAGAGCTGTCCTTGAAAAAGAGCAGTTTCTGTCAGAGCCCTCTCAGCCCCGCCTACCTCCCAGGGTGTCCCGGGACCTCACAGAGCCCCTTTTCACTGTAAAAGTTTAAAGGGAAGTCTTCGTTTCAGGGCACGCTTTTTGGGACAGGGTGTTCTGCGCCTGCGCGAAGATCTCAACTCTGTGGATGGCTGCCTATGAGCATGTGCAAAATACAATTTTTTTAAAAAAAACCGCTGATGTGTGCTGCTTCACGTTGGTAGTGTGAACGGGCATATCACGATGTGCTGTGCAGTCAGGAGGTGAGTGTGATCGCGTTTCTTCCAGATCAAACTGCTCCGGTTCTAACCAGAGCAGTTTATGCCAGCTTAAATGGCCCGTCTGAACGCACCCCATGACTTCCAGGCACGGACACACACACAAATGCAACCCCCCCCCCCCCCAAAAAAAAGACCAGCTTGAACCTGTTTTATCCCTCCTCTTTCGCCCCCCAAATATGTCCTTGTGTGAGATATTGGTTTAAAGAGAACACCTGGCCTACTCTGCAGGGCTGTTGTAGGGATTACCGAAACACTGTAAGTGAGCGTTTTGGAACCAATTGCTCAGCTCTTTAGGGCAGCTGAATGTTATGAGATGTTCCCACGGGGCTGTGAAACTCCAGCTGCTTTATAGGACCTCTTGTGCTTCGTGTGTTCTCTAGTACTTCCGTCACACTCGATACAGTCTGTTGATTTCTAACGGTGTATTTATATGCACATCTTTAGCTGTGAAAGACACTCTGATTGCCCAGTGGAAAGAAGTTTATCTCCTACAAATATGTAAAATTAATATTGTTTTTATCTTTAAGCATTTTGCACCCCACTGCTCTCAACCAGAGAGCTTGTTTCTCGTGTGAACGTCAACTGTAAAACTGGCAAAACCCCTTCAAATGTCAAATTCGAGTTGAAAACAATAAAATATCAAGCCATAGAGCAGGCATCATATAGCAGGAAAAATATAAATAATATAGTAGAGAGTAACGCATAAAACCCACAATTTAAGCCATAGGAACCATGAATAAAACTGACATAAAAGCGTAAGCAGACAAAAAGGGGTTTTTCTCAACATTTTGTAGAACCCAGCGATGGTTTTGTGATAGACGGCCACCATTTAGTGACTGGTTCTACCTCTGTGGTAGCCATTTTCAGCTGGCACTGGCAGCAGACAAGCCCCGGGGGGGAGAGCATTCCAAACTGGGGGCCACCATCACAAAGGCCCTGTCAGTTGCCGTCATCCTTCTTCCCTCTGGAAAAGGAGGAAGACGCAGCAGGACCTCAGCTGAGTGTCTGAACAGGGAGGGCAGGCAGGAGTATATGGCAGAAGACCATATTCTCATCTCTCACACATGCCGCTTGCGCCCCGTTACCTTCAGTTTCTCTTCTTCGCTGCGGACTAGCCTCGACGACAGTGCAGTCTTCGACCCGGCCAGCTGCCCCGTCTTCTCCTGCAGCTCTCCGACCCTGGCGTACAGCCTTTCGTTACGGTCTTGCAGCTGAACCTGGTAGTGGAGAACAACGACCACACTCGGCATGGGGGAGGCTTGTGTTGGCAGTAGTATGTGTGAAAAGGATCTAGGGGTCTTAGTGGACCATACACCCAACATGAGTCAGCAATGTGATGCTGCGGCTAAAAAGGCAAATGCGATTTTGAGCTGTATCAACAGAAGTACAGTGTCCAGATCACGTGAAGGGATAGTATTGTTGTACTCTGCTCTGGTGAGACCTCGAGTACTGTGTTCAGTTTTGGGCACCACAATTTAAGAAGGATATCGACAAGCCGGAACGTGTCCAGAGGAGGGCAACGAAGATGGCGAGGGGGTCTGGAGACCAGGTCCTATGAGGACAGGTTGAAGGAGCTGGGTCTGTTTAGCCTGGAAAGGAGATGACTGAGAGGTGATACGAGAACCACCTTCAAGGACTTGAAGGGCTGTCCTAAGCTGAGTTAGTGTGAGCCAGCTCACAGTTTTTTAGCCTCCAGCTCACACATTTTTGACTTTGCTCGGGAAGGATGGGGCTCCAGAGCAAAGCAATTTATGCAGCAGCCAAATGGCTCACTCACAACTTTAATGCCAGTAGCTCGCAAAGTAGGATTTTTGCTCACAAGACTCCACAGCTTAGAGGGAGCATTGGTTGAGACACATGAACTGTGTTCCCTTTTCCCTCACTGGATATATAGCCTTGCAGCCCCAAAAGCTATCATGGGCCCCAGACTTTTGACCTCTTAACTCCCCCCTCCCCCCCCCTCGAGCAGGCCCAAGACTGGCAACATTTCCACAGGATTGTTCTGAACTTAGAATGAGGAAACCGGCATCCAAGGCCTCGTCGGTGAATTCACCAAGGCTCCCTCTAAGCTGTGGAGTCTCGTGAGCAAAAATCCTACTTTGTGAGCGACTGGCATTAGAGTTGTGAGCGAGCGACTTGACTACTGCCTAAATTAGTTTGCTCTGGAGCCGTCCTTCCTGAGCTAAGGCAAAAATGTGTGAGCCGGAGCCTAAAAGACTGTGAGCTGGCTCACACTCACTCAGCTTAGAGGGAACACTGGAATTCACCCAGGCAGTTTCGGGCCTTCTTGGGTTAAAAACGGTGGCGCGGTCGCCTCTGCAACCTTTCGCAAGAATGACTTCTGAGACCCTGGCGGAGCATGACTAATAATTACCTAGACTGATGTGTATTAACCCTTCAGGAACAGGCCTTCTACACTGTCCGCCACATGTGCAAGTGGAGGAGTGGGGAATCGAACCCGGTTCTCCCAGATTACAGTCCGCACACTTAACCCACGACACCAAACTGGCTACAGCAAACAGGGGATACTTACATTCTCATTGGTGAGGCGCTGCACCTGTTCTCGGAAGGCACTGACGGCGTTGGTGCCGGAGGCATTTCTGGAGTCCATGAGTTCTAACGGGGCAAGCGGGTGGAAGATTCCGGAGGGTTTGTGTGAGGCACGCTCAGCTGCGGCGGAAAAGCTACAGGGAATCCAGAGGGTTGTATCTGTCAGAGGCCGCTTTTCCGGGGCCCTGCATGCACAGTCTGGGTTGCTATCAACTCAGGTTGCTAACAGGCGTGGCTTCCGCCTTGTGGATCAGGTAGAACTAGGCGTCGGTGCCTTCCACTGGCAATGCTGGGAACAAAAGGAAACTCCACCTCCGTTTCCTTTTTGAGGAGCGACAGTATTTCATGGAAGTTAAGGCTGCGCTGCGAGAGCCCTTGTTGGTGTGTTTAAGGGCCTCTTGTACATATATACATATAGACCTTTATTGGCATGACACAGGGACAATAAGGAAGGCCATGGAACAAATAAATGAATAGAACAAATTAATAGATCATAACAAGTTACATCAATTTACACCAACAGGGGATCATTTTTAAACTTCTCAAGAATAGTGAACTCAGTTAAGAAATATAACAATCCAAATGAGCACAAGGACTTATGTGCCCTTAGCTTCCAAACATAAGCTAAGAATTCAGCAACAGACAGGGTAATTGCCGAGAACTTACCAGACAGTAGGATTTTAAGATCATTGTCAGTCGAATTCCTTGTGGAAGGTAAGTGGGGACTGATCAAATAGCTGCGCATGGATGGTAGAGTATTGGGGACAGCGTCGAAGGATATGAGCAACTGAATCAGGTTCACTATAGAGACAATTGCAGGTTCTAGCCCTATAGGGGATACCCCTATATCTGCCTGAAACAACAGCCGAAGGAAAGAGATTAAATCTCACTAGCATAAAAGCCTGCCGATAAAGTGGGATTGTTAGATTAGAGATGTACAAAGCCATAGAGGCTGGGGGGG